GAAATCAGCTCTCCAAGTTATCTTTCATGCAGATCATTTGATTGGAACATTATCTATATATAATTAAACCATAATATTGCAAACCCTCCGTTCTTTACACAATGTTGAATCAGTAGGGGCTAGGTCGGGCAACATTCATCGTACAAGCGTCGAAACAAGTAGTTAATTTGCAGAGTAGCAGAGTTATTTTTGAAGAAATAATGTAACCCAGTTCTTGGACCTAACCCCAATGTTATCTTAGCTCTCTTCAAGTGCCTTCTAGCCTGTAGTGCATTGACTCTTTAATAACCATACAATCCTACATTCTGATGGGAAAAAGAGAATATCCTTTAAGTGTTTAAATTCCTGCATAGTTTCCATTTAATGTTGATGTCATTGCGCGATGATGTCCTATGCCCTGCAGACTTAGACCTCTCTTAGGTGTCTCGCTCCTTCTTCACTTTGGTTGATGAACACAAAAAAGTAGTCAACGAGGTTATAACCCCTTCAGTGTGCTCATCGTAACGCAGAAAACCTAGGTTCTGAGTACTGGTTGTTCGGGTTTCTTGACTTGATTGTACAATCATTCTGTAATGGATGTCGATAAGGCCGGTCCATTGAATATGCACGTTGTGAGCAACTACAAGTTTGTGCTCTCTAGCTTCTCCTTTCGCACCTATCCCTCGTAGTTAGGACCTGCAAAATGGGTAGGAATGATGATATCGTTCTCCCTCTTATCGGACTATTCTAAGTTGAGACGTCAATTAAGAAAAAATCTACTTTCACATAGATATATGGTAGCCCTAAGTGATTGCAGTTTTGTGACATATTGCTCTTTTGCACGTCACTATAGCCCAAATTCCTCCGAGGAACCTTCTAAATTCTCTCATTAGGGTAGCCTAGCTTCAAATTAGGCAAAATGAGAATTACTCCCGTCTTCTGACTCGAGAGTGCCAGCGTCAGTGAATTTCTTCCGTCTCCCGACAAGGGCTAGAACTTGTGGTCCAACTGTTAGTATTAGGATTGAAGTCTCGAAGGTGGAACCTCTAAGTACACATGATGGTTTCCTGTTCCTTTGTTCTCACGAACCGCTCTTAAGATCTTGCGATGGAAGCTCCGCTGTAGGAATGATCCACATCTCATTCTCCTATAAAAACGGATACCCACCATCAAGTGTAGAAAGAATGTGTATATGTAGTTGGTGTTGACTCTCTTGTTGAAGTGGGGACATTCAAATGGCCAATGTTCAAGACATGTTGCTTGTGAGAGCTGGACGAAGCACCATTAGAGGATACTGCATATTTTGAGTTATCCTCTCTTTTACCTACGAGAGTAAAATGGTAGAGAGTACTCTCCAGGAGATCCCCATTCTTCTACAGATTTATGCTCTTTCAAAAAATGATCGCAGTATGTTTGGAGAGATATTGAGTTCTCGCTCTTGCTTGTGACTCGAAGGTACGAAATGCTTCGCTCCAAAAAGGGTTTCCGCGAATTTCCAAACTCCTAAACGGATGCCCAATCTTCGCCCCTTCTGCGCGTTCTATACAAATTTTTAAAGAGTTGTATAATCTGATTCAGAGTCGCAATCCTAAGGTGGACAAAGCTTATTGATTCGTATTCAAAGAAATCAACACCTATGAGCCGATCAAAAGTGAATTCCACGCCTCGATTTTATAAATTGTTGATAGCCAAGAAATTGTCCAATGCGAGAATAGGAAGCTCTCAATAGTTATATACCGCGGATTATTTGAGAATACCCATGATTTGGTATTATTTCATTTCCATTCTCCTAACCAAATTGATTGAGGTAAGTCAGATCTGAAGGATTTATGAAGAGAAGTAAAATCTCTCCCTTTGACACCTTCCAAGATTAACATAGAGTCAGACATTTCTTAGTGTATGAACCAATCGACACATTCTATCTCTGTATTGTCTTGTCTTAATCACAAAACTTAGTGCAAAGTATCCTAATCTCCTCCTTGAAATTCCTAAAGGCCAAAACCCTTTAATCAAGACTTTCATGATTTTTTTTTTAAAAACAACAAAGAACAAACCTTTTAGCCAACATTTAAATGACTTCAAAAGAAAAAAAATCACTAGTTTAATCAAAAGTGTTCCCAAATCAAACTTGGGATGTAATTAACCATAGGGGCTTGCCCCTATGGGATGTCTGTACCCCAGAAATAAATAAACCCCGCTCGACCAAACATTGAGTGGGGGAATCTCTGTTAAATAATTGTAAATTTTATTATTGAGCCCATAAGAAAATGGTATTTTTACCCTCCGGGGTAATATATCGTATTCTTATGCCGTGCCCGATTATAAAATATGCAATTCGTTCGAGGATACAAAAAATTCTCCAACAGAGGCACACCTTAAATTGCTTATAAAATTCTCTTTCCCTTTGTACGCTTTTGTATTCATCCTTTATATGTAGCATCTATGATATATATTGCTGATAGAATCAAATTGAGATCTTGTAGATGTGATCAATGTAGTTCATGATATTATTTTACTAACTGTTGTGTTTATTGAATTTTAAACCAGGTATGGGCAACTTTTTTAGTAGTGATATTTTTAAAATGGCTCTTCAACTCTCCAATTTTGAGAGGAGTATCACCAACTATCATTGTGGTTATGACTGTTATATAAGAAGGAGCCCACACTAAATATAATTTCTATTGATGGGCCATTATCGTTGGTCACCTTCCTTTAATCCTTGGCTTTTCTTTTGATTTTTATACATGATTGACCCTCTTCTTCTTCCTTAAGAAGTTTACGCCTACTCAAAAGGTGTCTTCTCCTTCTTGATGTAGATTAATAAAAATAACAAATGGTGCTCTTGTTGCACTAGCCTCATGCCATAGCAAGAGGTTTCTTCTCAGCTTTTCTTCTCTCATTTCCATGGTCCAGCACTTCAATTTCTTCCATTGTTTTGTCCCGCACCTGCTGGCCAATAGCAGTCCACCATTCGGGGTCCCTCTTGCAAACTGCAAGCCATCTACTTGTTAGTTCTGTGTGTGAATCTGATTGTGTTAATCAATCAAGTTGTATTGTTGCATCGGACCTTAAGTTAATTTGTCGTGCTCGTTGGGGGGTGCGGGGGTCCTCCCTCTGCTTTGCACATGAAAAAAAAAATTAGTACACGCCCCGGCGCTGTGTACCCGAGAACCTCAGTGCTGCAAAGTTTGCTGGGAGAAATGATAGAGAGCAGAGCGCCACAATGCTCTAGATTTGACGCCGCAGCACCAACGCTGTGGGTTTGAGTGCCGCAGCATCATGTTGATAGAGGCTTGAGCGCCGCGGCGCTCCAAATCTGGCATCGTAATGCTTCGAGGCAGACTGGATAGTTTTCATTCTCTTTTTTCTGAAGGGTGGCATCCCTTGATGTTATTTTTACTTCACTTTCTCTTATTTTTACTTGACTTTCTCTTGTATTTTTTTTTGTGTGAAAATCGTGTAAGAGAGAAGAGAAGTAAGGAGAGAGCAAGAGAGAAGAGAAGTAAGGAGAGAGCAAGAGAGAAGAGATATATGTATTTATTTCTTCCCATTTTCATGGTGGATTTCTTAGTGTGATGTGACTCTATGGTTTTTTCCTGATTTCATGTTTTTTCACGTTAAATCCTGGTGTCCTTTATTTTACCGCTGCTTTTACTTTCTTGTTTGTTTCTTCATGGTGGTTTACTTCCATACAAATACTCATAAAAACACAAGTGACTTTGACGTCAACTCGATGATGACCGTGTTGATAAAAAATTTCAACCGAAAGGGTCAAATCTCAAATCCAACAAAATTTTAAATCTCTGAAATGAAATCCATCTCCTAAAAAACTTAAAATTAAACTCATCTACCTCCCGCAACCATTTATCGAGGGTGATAAATTTGAAATTAACCTCATCTCACAAAGAGTGAATGCGTGTCGGGTGTATCACTAAGGTTCATCCTCAAATTGTATCTTTCCAGTAGAGACGTTGCATGTGCCCTCTGATCGGGTGATTTTGCCGCAAAATGACACTATTATATTACGATCACGGCCAAAGCCCGTATGTTCTCTAAAGGCTTCAAACCCTTGAGTAATGAATCATATGATATATTTGATAAATACAAAGCCCTCTGTCAGCTAAGATGGATTCAAATATATTCCCTTAGACAAACATTAACCCAAGTCTACATGGTATTCTTGGACGAAGCAACCCATGGCTGCTGATAAGGTACCTTCTATCAGGTTGGGTCGACTACCTCCTCTGACTAAGTAGACCAGGGAACAAAACAGCCCGGAACGACGGAATCATGGGATCTTGATCGGGCTCATCTTAATCGAAAGTTCTTTCTCGTTATCGGGAGGGATAGTTAACTATAGGGGATTGCGCCTATAGAAAACCAAAACTCAGATCATAAAGTTCTCGTAAAATGAGGGCGAAATCTCTGGGTAGTATCTTATTTAAAACCCAATCTGCCTTAAAAGAAAATTAGTCTGGTGCGGAGAGGCACGGGTGTACAATCAAATTTTTGGAGCCCACACAAAAGGTTGGAGTAGCTCCAGTGGAAGATAAGATTAGAGAATCTCCTTCGATAGTTTGGTCACATAAAATGGCGACCTTCCGATGACCCGGTTAAGAAAATAGATGTAGTAGATTTGATTTATGTTAAGAAAGGTAGAGGTAGACCTAAAAGACTTGGTTAGAAAATATTAAAAATGACATTTATTTATTAGATTTAAATGAGAATTTAACTTTTAATTGGACACAATGGAGAAAAATGATTCATATAGCCGATCCCATATAGTGGGATAAAGGCCTGATGTTGTTGTTGTTTGTGGTGGTCATGATACATTTTCTGTTGAGGAGCAAAGTGGTTCTTTTCAAGTCATTTCTTACAGTTTCAGACGCTCTTACAGTTTCAGACGCATAACAATTGCATGGATTCTTGATGAATGCCGGTTATTTTCCTTAAAATATAGGAAGGAAATCTCTGTTGAAATTTGTTTTACTTAGAGATATATATGTGTTTCGTATTTTCAGGTTCTCTTCCTTCTTGGGCAGAGTTTGAACTAGGTAGGGCTCCAGTGTTTTGGAAAACCATGAATGGTCTTCCTCCCACCTCGGTATGTTGGTTTCTTAGCTAACTTAATATTCAATTAGGGCTTTCTTAGTTTAAATTTTATTTAAATTTAACAAATATCAATGTGCTACAGGGTGAGAGCTTAACACTCTTCTATAATCCTGCTGCGAGCAACTTGACGCCAAATGAGGAGTTTGGCATTGCTTTTAACGGTATATCTGATGGATTTTATGTATCTGTAAAGCTTCCTGCTTGAATAACTAACATGCACTTCACATGATCACAGGGGGTTTTAATCAGCCCATCATGTGAGGTGGTGAGCCAAGGGTGATGAGAATTAAAGAGCGAGGTGAAGCTGATCTTCCAATTTACACAATTAAGATACAGGCTCCAAAATATGGTTTGTATTATAGTATTGATGCGTTGTGTGATTTTAGAGTTAGACTAATTCTAATTCTTCTGAAATTTGGCAGCTGTTAGCCTAATTTTTTCATTTACGAATGGAGTTGAGTGGGATGGCCCGTATAAACTTCAATTTCAAGTTCTTAAGAAGTGGAGGAACAAACCAATAACATTTTTTAACGAGGTACATAAATGTTTATATTTTGTTAGTAGATATACGATTAATAATTTTCCATAAGCGAGTTCTTTAAATGAGCTCAATATTTGGAAAATTGCCAGTAGCCAGGCCTAAATCATGCAGTGAATACGATTTGTATTCATATTGATTCTTTTCTTTTTCTGTAAGTAACCCAAGGAATCCCTTCAGAGTCAATAATGCTGCTTTACATTGTCATCAACAAATATGTGATTTCTTGTGTTTGAAATTACTTTTTCTTTACCATTTTAAACTATCAAGGAATTATTCTTATGTGTTGTAAAAAAAAAGCATTACCAATGCAGGGTTTAGCTGAAGAGTTGAGTAAAGAAGGTGCTTGCGAAGGAGCAATCTTTCCAGATTCTCATGTGATCATAGAGAGTTGCAAAATTGACGACTTGTATTTGGAGGGTGTAAGTTGTTTATCCCTTGCATTTAAGTTCTTTTTTTCGCTTGTATTTGTGACAAAACAAACTGATTTTGACTTTGAAAACACAATAGCATTGTTGCCATGCCTCTTCTATTAATGCATCTTAATTTTTTATTTTCTTGCCTTGCTTTCTTGATAGGGTGACAGATGCAAGTTAGATCTTTTGATGGGTTGCATGGATCCAAATTCTCCATTGTACGATCCTTTTGCCAATGTTGATGATGGCTCTTGTCCGGTGGGGTCTGATTCTGAAGATGAGTAATGTATATTGAGAATGACATCAGGCGGGAAATTTGGGTAGAAATTAAGAACAAACCAAGATAGTATATATATATATATATAGAAATGTACATCCATCTGCTCATGATATTATTATACTGTATAGTGTCCAGCATTCGCATTTATGCGATTCATTCAGTACTCAACCACACAATACAAAACACGTTGCGTGTAGCATTCAAGTATATGATTATTAGTTGGATTTCTTGTGCTTCAATCTCCTATGAAGGCAAACTAATCCAAATAACTTCCTCCTAACAATCCCAGGCCATTCAAGCGTGCAACACAAAGAGGGAGTCATCTACAGTTGCCGTTGCAACATGAACAATCTGCTCCTTGGTAGAAACCTGAAGGCATAATATTGCTCTTCCAGGCCGCATACTTTCCAGCCAAAATATCAAAGAAGAAACCAGCTGCCAGGCCTACAGCCAAGTCAATGGTGTAGTGTCCCCTTGTGGCCAGCAACCTAAATGCTTGCAAGGCATTGAGGTAATCAAACACCAATGCCAACCTTCTCCGCTTCATCCTTCTCATGTCAAGTGATGCAATCATGGCCCCGGCAATGTGGCCGGAGAAAAAAAGGAAGAAAGATACATTTCCCACAGGAAAATCCACTCCCGAGCTTAAGAATTCCTGTAACAACAGTCTTGCATTGATTACAGAAATTCTTGCTTCACTAAAATTCCAATTTCTAAAGCAATTTAAGCTAATACAAAGTAGAGTTTGGGACACAAATCTGACTCAACTTGAACTAGTGTTTTCTGCTAGAACGAGGAATTTAATAACAGCTCAGCAAAAACAAATCAAGAAAGGACAAACAAAACCAACCCATGTACGGCGAACAAGAAGGAGAGTACAACACGGGAATATTAACCTATACACAGCTCACCTTGGCTTGTTGGTTGAGAGCTTATGCTTCCAACTAAGAGGTCTTGGGTTCGAGTCTTTGTGTATGCGTTGTGTGTGTGAGTTTGCCTTAAATGGCCTAAATGTCCCCAAAAAAAGAATATTAACCTATTAGCTATATACACGTGTAACACTATATGGCTATAAATATAGAGCCTCGATGTCCTGTAATGCATAGAGTTTTCCCTTTACATGAAAGTTTTCCTTTATCACCTGTTCTACCTTTCTTTAGAATTAAACCCATGACTTTTTCTAAAGAGTAAAACATTTGCTAACGAACAAACTAATAATTTATCTATTTTCTGTTTCAAATTAATCTTGCATATGCCAATTTCAAAATTGTCAAACTAGACTCAAATTTGATTGAAAGATATGATGTCCCCGTAAATCATATTCCTCTTATATATATATATATATATATATATATATCAGGTGTGTTGAAGAAGTATTTACTGAGGTGTGGGAAGCATTGCTCCTTCAAGCGAATTAATTGCACCCTTTTCAATACAAATAAGGAAATTAATCAATTTTCAAATTAATTTCTAGTAACAACAATATCTTTAAATCATAGATAAATATATTGTCCACTTTAATAAAATAGCATCACGTACGATTATGCGCTTTGTTATAATTTTAAAGGAGTGCTCTCATTGCATGTCCGACTTTGATGATTCTAAAAAAATTCTAATCATTGCACAAAAAAAGGCTCCTTGATATTTAAGAACTCAGCTTAATTCTACAATTTCTAATCCTTCTTATTAGTCCAACTGCAACTTACATGGGGCAACGGAAGCTGAGTACAGTAACCCATAACACCTCTGCAAGTAAACATGAAAAGGGCTGCAATGGTTGCTCGCGGCCTCTCTTCCACCAGGAAAACCCACCCTACATAAACGGCTTGCATTCCCACAAATACCTACAAACTTAATTCCAGACATTAATTAACAAAGTATTGTCTTCCGTTGAGACTGTTTGAGTGTACAAAACAAAATTGTTCGTCTCTTACAGTGTTGAGAGCGGCAAGTAAGGAGTTGAAAACAGGCCTTGTGCTAAGAAAGCCATGGATATTTTCTGTGAGGAGGAAGCCGATGTCTTTGGGAGGAGAAGAAGATGGCACCATCTTAAGCGTGTACTCCACGCCCATGAAGAAGAAGAGAGAAATGGCGAAACAGCTTGGGATGGGATGATGACTAGCTATTCTTGCCATGCCTTTGACTTTAAAAGGAGAAGCTTTAACCACCGCTGTAAAAGCCATTTTCATTAGAGATGGGAGAAGAACAATGGGAGGAGTTTGGCGAAGGGAATAATTCAGAAGAAACGGGTTGGAATCAAAGAGAGTAGTAATTTAATGGATTTTGATGTGTAGATCTTAATCAAAGAGCAGATTATTTAATAACAGCGATAATATTTGATATTGGTCAGGATTGAGGACTATAGTATTTAAGCCAGATACAAGTACAAAGTGGAAGGTGTTCGTGATGACACGTGGAAGATGTGGGCGAGAGATTCTCACATAGTAGAAATGAAGTAAACAAAACCACATAAGGCAATTGACAAACCTTAATAAGCGGAGCTCCACGCCTTTTGGCAATGGCAGCGCATGCAAATCCGATCGTTGGATACAAGAAAAAATAATAATAATTAAATGATTAATACGTTTTCTAGATTTCTTTTTTTATGAGTTCGGTTTTTTTTTCTTGTTCAATTTAATTTTTTACTTACTAAATTTGAATTAATTTACTTCCAAAAAAAAAAAATCTCAAATTTTATTAGAATGAACATTATTGTCAATAACTTTGTTTTGAAAATGAATGTAATAAAAATTTTAATTTAATTAACCATATATTGTATTTTTCTCAAAAAAAAATTGATGACTATAAAATCTTTAATTATGTTTAAGTCAGGATATATTTACTCAAATTTTATATTTGATTTTATCATCAAATTTTTTTCCATATTTTAAAATGAAAATTAATATAGAGTAGTTTTTCCTAAGAATATTTTTAATTTGTTTATAATTAATCTTGCTTCTTAATATAACTCATCTTAATAGAATTAATCCTAAAAATTCAAATACATATTGACCCCTACACATCAAAACACAAAAAAGGCGAAAATGACGATTTAAGCCACACATCCGTTGGCGCGGCACGTCACTTGAAGGGACAAACATTATCTGATTGTCAAACGGAGTGTGTCGTTGCAATCAAAACGCCAAATTCTTCTAAGTGGGGACCTCTTGCAGTCAAATTGGATGAGATCAGTCAAAATGGACGACTAACACCCAAAATTGACGCGCAACGTCACTCAAACGACGTCTGATCGTAAAACGTATTTAGCCAGTGCATTTGGAGCGTCGTCAATACTTAAAAATCGCTACCAAATTGGTCAATTAGAATAGTCTGACGAAATCGGTATGAACTCTGAGGCAACAACGGGCGATTTGTGGAAATTAACATCCGACGTTGTCCAAACAACATCCGATCTCAAAACAAATTTCGTCATTGCATTTGAAACGTCGACAACACCCAAAGATGACCATAAATTTAACCAATTAAACTCGCACAACGAAATCAACGTGTATTATAAGTCTAAATGCCTGGATATATATTATGGTCTGAGGCCGCAATGCTCATCAGATTAGCACCAAAGCGTTCTACTTCAGAATTTTTATATTTAATATATATATATATATATTTCACATGTTTGAGTTATTACAATTTACATGTTGAATGTTGCAAGTAGACATGCTCTTATATAGCAATTATATAAAACTTTATGTAAAATAATATTTTTTGATGTTTAGAATTTCTCATTTTGCACAAATGTTGTGGTATGCAAATTATATGTTTTTCCTCTTCTCAATGATTTATTTAATTTATACATAGGATATGTATATGGAGAATTTTTTTTGTGATGTTGTCTACTCAAGGCTTTATGTTGTGTTTTTCCTATTTTTAATATTTTATGCACTTGTACTTGTATATACTCTGTATAATTTGCCCTTATACACACTTTGTGTACAAAGTGTACACAAAATGTATAAGTTTTCCTTGTATACATCATATGAAAGTGTACAAATTGTACTTTATACACTCCCTATGTATAAGCGATACACATACTAAATACAAGTGTATATATTCTCCATGTATAGACACTGTGGTGAACAACATTCCATAAAGACTATTTTAGCATGGGCATTCAATCCACACAGTGTAGCGAGTCTACTAATAATATGTGTCATGACATTTTGAAGCCTATAAGTTATATATCTAATTATTTTATGGGCTTGATGACTTGGTGTCGGAATGAACATGATGAGGATTATAAATACAACCGATTCGAAACATTACCTATAATAAAAAGAAGATTAATATTAAAGCAAGCCACTCGATTTTACTCAAGAAAAAATGTATTACTTTTTTTGAAGAAGATTTTTATAGGGTGTTGATGGAATAGTATAGAATATAACTCAAGTGATTCTTCGATGTTTTTTTGTCAAGAGCATAGAGAATAAGGACCAGTCAATCCCTTGGGCTGTTCAGTTTGATGCAAAAGAGGGTAGAATTCAATGCACATATTGGAAGTTTGAGACGATGGGTGTATTGTGTTCTCACTACATGACAATTTTGAGGCAACTGTATATCATGAAAATATATGAGAAGTACCTATAGCTATGATGTTTAGTAAGAGTTAGGAAAGATATATATGCTGATTGCATATTCACAAGGGGAGGAAAGACATCTGAGGAAGGTTGTGGCATGATATTTAGAAATCATATCACTAGATTTTCATATCAAATTATCACATGAACATAGGACAATGAGGAGACAGAATAGTATATGATAGCTGCAATGAAGGATATGTCAGAGAATATTGACTTGATCGTTGATGGCAAGATAAAGAGCCACAAATTTGTAGGCAATACATAGGATGAAATTACAAAATTGAAAGACACATCAAAGTCTAGGTCTAAAGGCATTTATAATGCAAGGGTGAAGGGCCTCTGGAAAAAGAAGAAAAATTTGAAGAGTGAGATACAACATGTATATATGCTATGTATACGGGGAATTCATACATAATGTGTATATGTTGTACCTAGTGTGTACATAGTGTTCAACATGTACACAGGCTATGCAGAAAGGGAATTTATATATAGTGTATATGTTATACACATGATGTGTACTAGCTTATACACAGGATATGTTCTACCTTATACACACACTTGGTACAACATGTACATAGACTATGAGTCAATTTATTTATGCAGCCTATGAGTCAATTTATGTTTGATGAGCTAAAGTTAATTTTTTTAATAGTGAAACCTATCGTAGAGGCAATTACAACAAAACAGTATTCACCTTCAAGATAGTTCAAGTTCCCTAACATGTCTAAATGCTTCTTTGAGGAATATATACATGGTTCAGCAGGCAGGCAACCGATAACTACATACATAAGGAAGATAATGTATATCATTCCGTTAAACTGACATTTCCATTGAATTTAATTTTAGATTAATAATGATTCATTATAATAAATTAATGGTTCATTGTAATAATTTGTTTATGTTTTATTGTAATAATTTAAGGTACATTATAAAAATTGATGATTTATTTAATAACTAATGGTTTATTTGATAATTGATAATTCATTTAATAATTGATTTTTTGTACATGCCACATCTCTTGTACACGATGTGTTTAAATAGAATTTCACTAAATGTACTGCTTGTATATAGTATGTGTACAACTTATATATATACACACTGTGCGCAACTTGTACACAGAGTATGTATAACCAAAAAATTTATATATATTGTGCACAACATCTCACACAACAGAATTTTCACAAATACATTATTTTCATTTCATGCAAACAAATTTAATAATTTTTTACTACTAAAATGAATCCATATCTCCTATATATGGGCGGATCCCCATTGCATTGTATTTTAGTTGTAAAAAAGTTATCAAATACAATGTGTGTAAAACTAGAACTTTTATACATACTATATACAACATCTCACACAACATAATTTTATAGATGCTTAATTTTCATTTCTTGTATTTGATAACTTTTTTACTACTAAAATGAATCCACGTGCCCTGTAAATGGTAGTGTTTAAGTAGAGTTTCACATAATGTTTCGCTTGTATACAACCTCTATATAGCTTATATTCTATTTATATAACATGTTTGAATATCATTACCAAACTTTTTGGCCATCCCATCGAACAAAAGCTAAGAAATTCCTAATGGCCCCTCCCCAATTGTATTTTGAGAACTCATCTATGTTCTGGGCAATACTAATGAGCCTACTTGGGGTTTTGTAGTTATTTATGATAAAGAATAAATTGGATAACAAAAATACTATATACTTATTTATAATAAGGACAGTGGCTTGATATGTCGATGTTTTTTCATCTCATTTTTAATGTCGATTGCATATTATTAATAGCTCATGTTCCAAGCATAATACTTCACCACTATTTGGCAATCCGATAATTAGAGCCACCTCATCTGTTGTAAATTGAAGCTTATACTCCTTGATCATGAAGGCTTGCCTGCTCATATCCCATGATGATAGCAGTATGTAAATCAGGAATGTATTCCACTAAAATGGAGGGATCTCCAAAAATTGAAATATGTGCAACTTCATTAAAGTGCCCTCAACTTCATTGCTGAATATCCTGACAAAGGAGTCAAATATTGCTCTAAATATTGAGGTTTTACAATGGAAAGTAATCTTTAGGGTGTACATTTGCAATGAAAAATAGTCAATATATTTTTTTGTTAGAATGTGCTCTGCTACTTATACACACCCATTATATAAGTTATACACATAGATTGTACAAGCTTATACATATCTTGTGTACAAGCTATACATAGGATTTGTAAAAGAGGGATTGATACACACGATGTGTACAAATGAATAAAGAATTAAAAATAAGAAGTTAACAAGATATACCCAAGTGTATGTCGCCAAATTTTTCATTTGCTATCTTGACTGCTTCAACCTTGGTAATATTGTTGGATTTTTTAACTCCATTAAATTCTTTATTTTCCTCAAAACCAAGTGATATTCCAACATAGTTGGGCTAGTACACTTCACTTTATAGAAGCTGCACCAAATTTTTTTCCTTTTGGAAGTTTCTTCAAAATTGAGCTCACATTTTACTTAGAATGTGAGAGTAGTCTTTTTCTTTGTGCGTTTTATCTTGAAGATGCTAATATGGCTTGTACACACCCACTTTTATATAGGGTGTATACAAAATTATCTTGTACATATGGGGTATATAAAATCTCTTTGTACAAACCTTGTGTACATATACACAAGGAATATATAAATTACACTTATACACATCCTATGTATACTTTGTACATAGGAGTATATATATTTTCCTTATATATAGCCTGTGTATAATTTGTATATAGGAAGTATATATATTTCCCTTATACATAGCCTATGTACAACTTATACATGGAATATATAAATTCCTCTTATACACAGTCTATGTATAAGGGGAATCTAGGTTTGGGGACTTCAAATGAAATTTGAACATATTGAAACTAAAGTTGTTCATATTGAAGAGACTTTGTTGGAATATGTTACTACATGTCAAGCTGATAAAAAACGACCTCCGACAAATTCACATTCTACACATCCTGTGTACAAGTTTTACACAGTGTGTGTACAAGCTTGTATATAGTGTATGTACAAATTTGTAAACATATTGTGTACAAGTTGTACACATGATGTATAAAAATTTCTGTTGTACACACACTGTGTACAATATGTACATTCTGTGTACAAGAAACTTTTAGAAGGAATAAGCAAAAGATGCTTTCGTCCAGCTTTTGCAGTGTGAACTGTATTAAACAAATTATGTTGGAATATATCACTTAGCTAGGAGGAAACAACATAGGAATTTTATATAGCATTTGCGGAGAAACGTCAAACATAGTATGTAACTTTGTCATTCATGCCTTCAACAAATACATGGATACAATACCTTCAAAATAGAAAGAAAAAAAAACTAAAAACCATATTTAACCAATAAAAAAACTCCTTTTTACTCCAAAATGCGGCAACATTCAAAAATATAGTAATGAAACATTCAAACTTACACTGGCCTAAATCTGACCTTCTTAATATTGCTATTGGATGATGCCTAAAGAGGATGAAGAGAGCGAAGCAAGATAGATCTTTCAAAAATGAACCACTCCTAAAGGAAATGATAAACCGATTCTTGTTCAAAGATGAAGAGCGTCTGAAGGAGACGAGAGCAATCTTTATTCAACAATGAAAATCAACTTCTCAAATTTCAAACCCTAAACCTTTTGGTTTGCCACGGTTTTAAAAGTGAACAGACAGGACAACGACAGTGGCAAACTTTTTTCAAAACTACCATTGGCACCAGGCCGGATCGTTGGATTATGAGTTATATATATATATATATATATATACATCACAAAAATTTATCTTGACCAGGCACGAATCTCGATGCAAAATCAAGTTGGAAACTTCTAAAATTAAAATTGGGACCATCCAAACTCTGATTTCAGCAAACTTATAATCGAACTGAGCGTCTCAAGAATACAAACCCAACGACACCAAATCCAACCCAATCCGAGCCCAAATGATCCCAAATCAAGGACCCGAAGCGCTGTTAGAAGTTTCAAACCACAATTTGGGTTACCAAACGGTTTCCAAACATGGTGTACTTATAGTCGAATCGAGCAGCTCGACGAGACGAATCCAACGAACCCAAGATCACTGAATTCCGACATCACTAAAACGTTCAAATGTCCATCAAACGGTTCATGATCAAGGGATTCAACATCGGCCGTCCATCCAACCACTCCCCATTTACCCTTGATCTCTAGCCTATTTACGGGCTATGCCACTCCATAAATCTATAAATAGACCCCTCATTTCTCTTGAAATGGGCTCCAAGAAAGAAGAGAAGAAGAGAAGAGAAGGAAGAAGGTCTTCCTCGACCACCGACTGAGTTATGACCTCCATCACCAGACAATAAGCTTTTGGACCCCTGTCTCCTACCGACTACGGTACTTCCGACCTGCATCACCTACTATGGTCCTTCCGACCTCCATCACCAAACAACGGTCTTCCGACCTCCATCCTATCGACTATGGTCATGCCAACCAAACAAACATGTCTATATTGTAACTACCACCTTGTAATGCGCTTTATATGATATACATTTATAACATCAAGCCAAGACCTTCTCCGTAAGAAGGGCCTCATTTGTAATCGACTGCAAATACTAGTGGATTCATTCAAATTGGGCCAGGCCCCGTGATTTTTCCCCTTTTTCAGGGGTTTTCACGTGAGAACTTTGGTGTCTCTTATGAATGCTCCACCCTCTCACTTTTCTGATTGTGTGCTTGGTATTCGTACAATGCTAGGACGTTAAACTATATATCTCTACCACCACGAATACTCCAGGACGCAACAATATATATAATCTAAGTATACAATCCAAATATCATAATGTAATTGAAGTCCAAATGCAAAAGTAAATATCATATTATAATTGAAGTCCGGACGTAAAGATGTGTCCTCACTTTGCTAGTGATAATTTGAGGAGAAATTATTACGTGCGGCGTCTGGATTCGCCCGAAGACAAATAAAAATGTGCCACGTTACTAAAAAAAAGTACTACACTCATTACCTTTATGTACCGAAAACATAATCAGACGGAAGAACCGCACAGTATCCGTATATAATAATAGCTCTAATTTGAGCCCGGAAGACACTTACCAAAGCCATGTTTAAACTCGAATTTCCAATTTTCAAGGAGGAAATCGTAATTTTTCTTAAATGCCCATTTCTAGTTACTTGTGGGAACCAGAAGCGGTCATTTTAGAGAAATGCTTGGCCTTTAGGTTCAGCCTCATCCACTTTACTTCTCGGTTCCTTCAATCTTCTGTATTGGCCGTTCAAACTTCAAAGCGTACCCAATTGGGGCAAAGCAGAGCTTCCAAGTTCACTACCTTCGCTGTGCCGCGGCCGTACTCCCGTGAAGTAGACATGATCAACGCTGGATGTTTCGCGTGCGCCAATTCCATCCTCCTCTCTCATCTGACTAAATCTTCTATTGCTACCCCATATTTTCCTATTTCCTTCCAAAACCATAGCGCGCACAAACCGTTAACTGCTTGCAGCCCCAACTCAAAGATCCAATCTTTCCGAGTTAATGTAAGTTTTACCCTTCTCTCTCTAGCGATTATTATTTTTTTCTTTTTGGTTTGTAATTTCCAAAGGCTAACTGCTGCAAAACAATAAGATTGCGTTTGCATTTTGATGCCAAGGTTAGTGAGCTACGGGCTTACAGGTAGGAGTGTTTTTTTATTCTTCTAGTTAAAAACAAGTAGCTATGGAGATGAAGGAAGAAAGAATCCTGATTATTTTATAGGAATGTAATGGAAGATGTTTTCACTTTATAGTGACGCATGAAATTGGAAATACCCTAAACACTAGATGTGTCAATGGAAATTAAGCGATTTATTTTCTTGTGGAGCAGTCTTTATCTTACAAAGACCCTACATCTTTTTATTTTTGGCTTATATATGTAACTAATCTTGTGCGCCCTCTTACAGGCAGCGGGTTTTAACCGAAACACAAAACCAAATAGCATTGTTTGCAGCGACTGTGATGGAAATGGTAAGTTAATTATTAAACTACTTCCTATCGAAAGTGTGTTTAAAATTACAGTGGAAAGTTTATTCTCAAAAAAAAAATTACAGTGGAAAGTTACTATTCAGTTCAAATGTTGTGCGCTAAAACTAACTCCAAGTGTTGGAAAAAATATGGAATTGATTCAAGCCAGCGGGTCTTGTTGTGACCTGTGTCTCTGACGGAAAGAATATCGAATTGTTTCAATGCCAGACGGTCCATGGCCTGTGGCAAGTTTGGAATTATTCCAGCTTTGTCTTGGATGAAATCCAGATATATTCGGCATGCTAATTATTCTTCCAGCATTGTTTCAAATAAGGATGTAGAATAGTAAAGCTTGCATATAGAGACAGATTTGAATTTTTTTCCCTTCCGTTTGTGTGTGCCTTTGTAACCTATAAGAATAGGTGCTATATGCATTATAAATGAATAAATACCTCTCCCTCCATTTTTAGATGGAATCATAGCAAGGAGTATTTTCACTGCCTCTTCTATACTAATCTCTCATCGAGCAGCCTTTGCCATATTCGAACCCACATCCGAATCCATTATGACCACTCCACCAAAAAGTTATTGAATCATTGGGCTCCAACATTGTTTCTCACATAGTGCAAACCAATAACAACAATAGCAACAACATCAAGCCTTTATCCCACTACATGGGGTTGGCTACATGAATACATTTTTTTCCATTGTGTCATATTAATAGTCAAATTATCATTTAAATAAATTAAAAAGATCATTTCTAATGCTTTCTAATAAAGTTTTTTTAGGTCTACATCTAACCTTCTTAACACAAGTTGGATCTAATACATATAGTCTTTTAACCAGGTCATTGAAAGGCTTGTTTTATGTGACTATACCATCTAAGACAACTCTCAATTATCTTATCTTCCATTGGAGCTACTCCAACTTTTTCACGTATATACTTATTTCACATTCTGTCTCTAAGAGTACACTCATCCACTTGAGCATCCTCATCTTTGCAACACTTAACTTAATTTTATGCTTCTCTTTTAATGGCCAATATTCTGCTTCATAAAACAACGCAAGTCTCACCACCTTTTTATAGAATTTTCCTAAGTTTGAGAGATAATTTTCTATCACACAACAGACCCAAATCATTCCTCCACTTCAACTATCTAACTTGAATTATACTAATAATATCTTTATCTATTTCACAATCACCTTAAACAATAAACTCGAAATATCTAAAACATGTACTCTTTTTTTATGACTTGATCGTCCAAAGTCACAATCCCCTCGTAGGTCTATTACTGATAAAATTGCACTCAATGTATTCAATTTTATATCTAATCAAACAAAAACCTTTAAACTATAAGGGTGACTTCCATAATTCAAGCTTTCCTTCAACTCCCTCTTTACTCTTATCAACAAGAAGAATATCATCAGCAAAAAGCATACACTAGGGTACATCCTCTTGCAATGTCTAGTAATAACATCCATGACTAAAGCAAATAGATATGGGCTTAAAGTTGATCTTTGATGTGATCTAATTGAAATAGGAAAATACTTGTTCAAACCATCTTGTGTTTGAACACAAGTAACAACTCCTGCGTACATATCCTTAATGATTTGAATATAAATATTATTAACTCCTTTCTTTTTTAGTACTCTCCAGAGCACTTCTCTTAGAACTTTATCACGTGCATTCTTTAAATCAATAAATCTCATAAGTAGATCATCCTCATGCTCTTTATACTTCTCAATCAAACCTTTCAATAAATGTGTAACTTCTATAGTAGACCTATTCGGCATGAATTTAAATAGATTTTGAGAAATGTTAGTATCACGTGGTAATCTATACTCAATTACTCTCTCCCATAGTTTTAATGTATGACAAATGCTAACAATGGCAAAATAAAAAACCTCGAGTATGATGTGATCACTGTAATAAACCACCGTTGAAATATCCACAGGAAGCTTGCCAACTAGAAGAATAAGACAAATGGCTGACCCACTCTTGCATTCTCTTATGCAAATGAATCATCAACAAATCTATTCAGTAAATAGCATATGAATCATCTTTTAAAATTATGAAAATTCAATTCCATATCAAATACATACACGTAGTGGTTCTCTTCCACAAATAGGTAATTTTGATCATGTTGCTGTATCTTATAGTCAAACTTTTGTCCTAAATCATTGATCCAGGGGCATGTGATCACATAACTTCCTTTCATTTATTATTTGATAATTAGTAATCATGTTTTGAAAATGAAAGGGTTAGGATTGTTGATGTAGTTTCTTGCCCATCATGAGGAAGATTAAAACTTTGTTTGACTACTGCTTTTTAAACAACTTTTTAGTACAAAAATTTTGGGACAATTTTTTAGAATTTTTGTACTAAAAATTTACTTTAGAAAGCAGTAAGAAAGATGTCTCAAACGAAGCCTAAATTTGAATCAATTCAATGACTACCAAGTGTAAATCAATTGTGGTTTGCAAACACAATAGGAAGATGACGGAAGTTCACCATAGCTACAAATTCTTGGTCAATCTAAAGATCAAATTTGAATCATTATGATAATTAGGGAAAATTTCAGTCAACTCAATGACTACAAGTAAATGAATTGTGGATTGCAAACAAAATAGTGTTAGTTCAGTGTGGAATTTGATTGTGTTTATCAATTGGGTGTTCGGGGGGGGGGGCTCTTTGTTTATTTCATCGGAAAATGTCTAACAAATAATGTAGTGTCGGGGCGCCAACAAACAATAGCAGGAGTCCTCCCCCTGCTTGAGTTCATGTGCTTTGCACCTGTAAATTTTTTTTTGTACAACTCCCCGACGCTGTGTACCCGAGCGCCCCGGCGCTGCATTATTTGATGAACATTTTTTGTGAAATTAACAGAGAGCGGAGCGCTACAATGTTGTATTCTCGGCATGATAGCATTTTTAGAACCAGATGATAGAGGTTGAGCATCGCAATGCTCCAAACTGGCGCCACAGTGTTTTGATGCAAACTGAACAATTTTCTTTCTCATTTTTCTTAAGGATGGCATCCATTGGTGTTACTTAACTTTCTCTTTTGTTTTGAGTGTGAGAATGGTGTAAGAGTGAGGATAAGTAAGAAGAGAGCGAGAGAAGAAATACCTGTACTTATTTCTCCCCATTTTCATAGTGAATTTCTTAGTGTGGTATGACTCCGTGGTTTTTTCCCGATTTCGAATTTTTCTACCTTAAATCCTAATGTCCATTTACTTTATGCTGCATTCTATTTTTTCTTATTTATTTCATGCAGTGTTTTACTTTCATCCCCAATAACTGGTATCAAAGCGAAGTTGTTTAGTTCGAGTGGAAGTAATGGTTGATGAAGTAAGGTAAAAGATTAAGAAGTTCAACTGTTTGAACTTCACACTTTGGAGGATGCAAATTGAAGATTTGTTGTATCATAAAAAGTTGTATTTATCATTGAAAGAAATTACCAAGAAGCGGGCTCTATGACTATGGATGAGTGGGAGGTTCTTGACTGGATTGCATTTGGTTTGATATGACTTTCACTTTTCTTATTTGTTGCATTCTACATTATAAATGGGAAGACTACAATTGATCTCATGGCTGCACTAAATAAGATGTATAAGAAGCCTTCGGCCTCAAACTAAGTATTTTTGATGAAAAAGTTATTCAACATGAAGATGTTAGATAACACTCTAAGACAGAATAACTGAATAATCTTAACACTCCAATGACAGAGTACTTGAATAATTTGAGCACCTCAATGACAAAATACCTGAATAATCTGAACACTGTGATGAGTCATTTGTGTTCAGTTGGCATCAAGTTTGATGATGAGGTGAGAGCGTTGTTGTTGTTATCTTCATTGCTAGAAAGTTGGAATGAGCTTATTACTATTGTGAGTAACTCTTCAGGAAGTTCAAAGCTGAATTATGATGATATTATGAGGTTAGCGCTTAATGAAGAGATTCGCAGGATGGCAAACGGTGAATTTTAAAATTTTGCTCTAAATGTTGAAGTAAGAGGGAGGTTTAGAGAGAAATCCAATTAGAGGAAGAGAGGAAAGTTTACTTTAGGTAGAGGAAAGGTTGTGGGCTGGAAATGTGAAAAGAAGGGCCATTTGAAGAAGGATTGTAATGTCACAACCCATCTTGATACAACTCGATATCATATAGGTCATAGCATGTCCGATTGTGGAAAGAATAACCCCAAGATCTAGTCAGAGAAACACTTGAACAAATCTTCCAAATTATACATTACATAGAGTCACTAGTGAATCAAATATAAAGCAGAAGACTACTGAATCTCAAAAATAATTTTTTATATATCATATTAAAACATATACAGTTTGAAGTCTATCTACAAAATGCTATATAACAGAGAAAAATAAAATAAAAGCCAAGCCTGCAAAAATCAACTAATAAAAAGAGCATAACTACAACATAGATCGGAGCTAGTTATCTAAACTACTTAGCTCGTTCCTTACCCTTCACTTGGCCTAAAAATGTAAGTAAAAGTATAAGTGAGCTAACACAGTTCAGTAGGCTATCGCAACCTAAATCATAAATAGAAAACTAAAACCAAAAGAAAATATCGTGATGTAAAATAAGCTAAAGTATTGTACGGAAAATTGAAATTGAAACTAAAAAAGAAGCTGAAACTGAAATCAAATGAATTATAAGCAAATATTCATTTTATCAGAATGGCTCTCAGCCCAAATTTTCATATATATTTATAGCTTTGTTAATAAAATCTCACCTCGGTTGCCAATTGGCATCGCCATAATAGAATCTCACATCGATCATCCAATAGCGCCGGCATAACATCACATCACATCCTCGCACATTTCTTTCACCATTATACATATTTTTTGATACATTTCATTAATTAAAACATAATTAGACTCAATTCATAAATTACCAAAATGCCTTAACGGTAGGCAACATAAATGCTACCGAGTAAAAATTTACAATTTTCAAATATAACCAAATTATCAAAGATTGTGTAAAATA